TTCACGGTGTATAGCCAGCTGAACCAGCACTGCTCCGCTGTGCTCGCTGCTCAGACTGTCCGCGATATAGGGTATAAATCTGGTCCTGCCGTTCACATCGTATACACCATGACAAAAGCTTCCTGGAGACCCGAGTCTCAAGCAGGAGAGACGGAGCCCCGCTGCTAACGCGTTCCCCGGGTGTTCTCCCCGCATCCCGCTGAAGAGGTCCACTGGGTCCAGTCCTCCTTCCGGATTGGCCCTCAAAACTCTTTTCAGCGTGTTGAAACATGTTTAACACCTAGTAGTGCGGGGGGCGAAATGCAGCTTGCCGCGTCCCGCGCTGCGACAGCAAAAAGGTCCGCATGATGTTTCAGCACCTGATTGCCAGTGAAAACCCTGCTAGCTCCCTATCTTCATGCTTTAAGGCTTCAAGGACGCCAAGATGAAATCCATGGTGCCCCCTCTCACTCACTGGAAGATGTCGCGCCCCACGCTTTCCGACGCTTTCCGACGTCGACCCACCTTGCCGCCTTTGATACTCTCGCGGCACAGGGGACACTGACCTCACTCGTCCGAATCGAGCGAAGACGAGAACCGTTCGGCGAGGCGCACGCGGTGGCGCACGGCACTCGGGTTCGAAGCCTCCCGCGCAGCCGGGCTACGCCTCGTGGCTCCCTGGTGCCAGGTAGCTTCCCAAACTGGTGCACTGTGATGCAGCTCCAACATCTCACATGCTGTTTTGCAGGGCTTTCTTCGAACCCTCACTGAAGCTGGAGCTCCCACAGTGCCACAGTCCGAGAGGAAAGCCCAGGTTCTTATCGGACGCTCCATTGCACACCTGATTGGACAGATTGGATCTACTTAATCTCTATCATCCCAAAGCAACAGCCCACTAGGTGCGCTCTTTTTTCGCGCCCATACAACAATACTAATGAATATAAATGAATGAAAATTGGTTTATGTCCTCACATCATCGATACATGTCCGTCCTTGGGTCCTTTTTCGAGCCCAGTGACCCAAGCTCCAGGCCGTCTCGGCGGACTTCTTCGCTGCGGCGATGGCCTCCGCGCTCATCTTCACGGGGCCGCTCTTCACGCGGGCGCCTCACTGTCGGCTGGAGGCAGATCTTGATGATCGGCTGGAGGCGGATCTCGCCTAGGGCCCTTGCTGCAACAGTGCTTGGGGTGGTTTGGGGAACCTACATACATTGAAATTCGCTTGGAGCCCTTTTGGAGGATATATCTGCATACTAGATTGGCACTCTTGGTGACCTGGGTAAGTCGGTGTTTTGCTCTCAATTGACGAAGTTCGCTGCTCGAGGGCTGCTTGGGGTGCTAGGGCATTGAAAATCTCAGGAGCCACTGGTGAGGCAGAAAGCTGATCTTCCAGCGATACTTCTGTCGCTGCTCAGTTCTAAAATGCACCAACAGAACCACCACGTCACCAACCGCATTCTTCAGGCTGCCTCTCACCGCACCGTCCCCTCGCCATCTCTCTCCACCCAGGCGCTCACCAGCTCGGCGTCCACAACCCAGGTCTTGGCGAACTCCATCGCCGCCATCTGCCCAAAGGTCACGTGAGGACCAAAGGCCACACCCACCTACAACCGGTTCCGAAGGCCGCTCGGAAGTGGCGGGTGTCGGAAGTGGCGGGTGTCACGGCTGAAGCGAAGCACGCTACAAGCGGACGAAAGCAAGACCCGGTTTGTTCACGGCCGGGACGGGATGGAGAGGAGATGATTTTTGAGGAACGTTTCGTGAGGACTCCAGAGGACCATTTGACCATGTTTCTTGACGAAACCGTGGACCAGGTTTCGACCCGTGAACCATGAGGTCCCACGGTCCCACGACGACGACTTATCACGTTGGGATGGTCACTCACTCTGCGCGATGGGCAGGTGTTCAGAGTTGACAGAAACACCCCTTTCCATGTCAGCAAGTTGGATATGACAGCTGCGGAAGGTGGTTGCTGGTTGGGAGTCATGTTCAGTCAAGATCTAGATTTCTGAGGGTGAGAGAATGGGAGGAAATTCTCATGGGGCATCTCATGGCGTTCATGGGCTTTCACCGCCAGGGTTTCAATAGGTTCATAGGGTTTACTGACAGGAGTGTTGACTGACTAATGACATATGGACATTGCTTTACCATCTAGGTGGTAGGGAGGATTATTTATCAACAGTCAACATTATGGCGAATGAGATCAAGATCTGTATCTTCAACGAACGGGAAAGACGACACCCCACCCGAGAAACAGCGGGCACCCACCGACTTGTTCCGAGCGGCCATGTCGTAGCGCGGGTCAAGCACGCCCTTCCGGTGGCCTTTGGGCAATGGAGACGACCCGAAGGTGGAGTCTACTGTCTCCAAAAACCAAGGAGTTTCAGCACAGACTTGTCTATCCATGTTCAATCTCACATCGAGTGGATGATCCAACATCATTGCTCTCACCACTTGTCCTGGTTGAAACACCAGTCCAGCTTTCTCCAGGTTGGAGGCCATCGCTTCTAGGTTGGAGGCAATTGCTCTTATAGAAAAATATCGGTCTTGCCCGGTCTTGCCTTGAAGGTGTGACATCACTTGACCAGTCGGGGGTCACTCCGAAATGCTAGGACCCCAAAGCCACCAAAATGTATTTACATAGTGGTTTCAGTCAAAAACCCAAATGTCTTGAACATGGGGGTCCATATAAACCAAGAAACTTGGGGATTGTGCATCTACTCTGAAACCAATGTAACATGTGCGTTGCACCATTGTAACCATGTCGAAAGAGGGATTGTTGGATTCTACGCGAATTCCAGTCAGGCACTAAAGGAAGCAAAGTCTTCCGTTGCTCCGACCCAAATTTGCCAAACATATGCTACTAGTAGCTTCTTGTTACTAGTAGTAAGGCCAGGAGCTACTAGTAGCGTCCTTGCTCCTAGTAGCAAATGTTATAGTGACTAAGCGAGTGGATGTGACAGGGGCTTCCGTTGCTCGATCCCTAACAACCTCTGAGTTTCAGTTTCTCAGTCCAAGGGTGTACAGTTACCCCAAAAAAATAGTAGCCAATTCTTGAAAGACAAACTATGTATTGGGAACTTCTATCATCTGAAGGCCACCTTCAGACAGGTGATTAGACGAATCATTCCCATATTCATCCATATTTAGAAGGACCTGTTGTTATCTCCTCTTGTTTGCTGGAGCCTCATGCGGCAGCTAATGGCTCTTCTTCTCACCAGGAAAAATGTGTAGTCGTTCCTTTTGCTGCCCATATCCTCTAAAAAAGGCGCACGTCACAGGTTCGAAGAAAACCCCGAGGTCGGGGAAAAAGCAACACATGGTCATCGGTGTTTCATCTGTTCTTCCTCTTCCTTCAGCATGGATTCCCCACCCACCCTCCTACACACGTGCCAACCAAATTCCGCAAACACGCCCATCTGAATCTATCACCAACGGAGCCATCGGCGGGACGCGAACCGAACGGAGTCTCCACCTCGACTCGGTACGCCATCGTCCACGATGAGGTCCAAGACCACAGTGCGGGCGTCGGCGGAAGTGGATCCATACCAAAGACCTGAGAACTCCCGGAGAAACGAGAAGCTACTAGTATATATATTTACTAATTGCTACTAGTAAGGCCAGGAGCTACGTTCGTAGCGTCCGATCGCTCCGTTCGTAGCGATGCCCTTTGTTCCTAGCAGAGTCCTTGTTCCTACGTTCCATGCATGGAACCCTCTACTGCAGTTCTGCTGCCATGCAGCATCACGACCGAAGTGCCGGCTGTGGAAAGAGAGCAATTCTGGGCGCCAAGCGCCAGGACTTAAACCATACGATTTCGTGTTGCCCGTGAAATATTGGGGTCATGAAGGGGGTAAACATGATCGACCCCATAGAAGGACGGTCTGACCACCGGACGACGCGGTCGTGGCTTTGCTTCGGCTTTTCATCTCGGCGTGGTTTTCCGGGGCTCGCAGGGTGGGGTGTCGGTGGGGTTGCTTCTCACACTGAAGGGCATCACAAAAACTGCCTCTAAGTGAAGAGATGTGTTCAGACCTGCAGACCCTTAGTGATAGGTCATGGAGTCGGTCCTGTCGGTCCTCGTGCGGAGTCGTGCAACACGAATTCTGCCGGTCGAAAGATATTGAAGGAACTCCATGAAGGTCAAAGCTGTGTAAGAGTGCTGGAAAACGCTGGTGTTCCAGAGCTGTGTTCCTGTGTCCAGTGTTCAAGTGTTCGCGGGTGTCCAACAGAATGCCAACTTAGTGAATCTCACCCCAAAAGCCCCTGAAGTGTTCCTGAAGCTGCTCCCGCTCCAGAGATCTTGGTCGTTGGGCACTTTGGCATGGCCAGAGTACCTCCGGTCGTCTGACCTCCGGTGCCGAGTTGGAACACTTCCTGACAAGACACATTCTCCAAAGAGCTCGAACTGGCCATAGCGCCTAGCACGCTCGGCCTCAGCAAAGAAGAGATGTGGAGAGATGAGATCTGCAAAAGCGCGACGGAGATGGGCGTTCACGACCAACAAATTGTTACGGTGTTTTTTGTGTGCAGGTAGCCAACAGTTCCATACAGAAGGGGACTTGCAGAGTCATGTCGCACCGAGACTTGCGAAAGAACCTTACACGACTTCCTTGACTAAAGCCCGTTGGTTTCAGTATGACCAAGGGTTCTAACTGGCTAGGACTATTCACCTTAAGAATGACGGGAACGAGTCACTCACACGGACCCTGGTTTCACCCCTGGTGCAGCGACCGGTGCAGTCAACACGAACACCACATGCCATTCGAGGAAAAAACCGGATCCTTTCAAAGGCACCGCCCTGTTCGGCTTGGGAGACCTCTGTTCGCTCCAGACGACCCATCGGACCGTCATCGACCAGACCAGACGATCTGCGAGCGGTGACGGCTCGACGGCCAAGGTGCAGCAGTGGTTCCATCTGACGAGCTGTGGGAGGCAGTTCCCGTCTGTCCTTGGGCTTCCAGCTCGTCCGGTCGTTCGGTCGGTCGGCGATGCCGAGTTCGAACGATCCTCTGTCTTCGGCTGGGTTGGTGTTTAGAAGAAGATCAAGCTGTTTTCAAGGAAAAACAGCACCCAAAACACGGTCGACTTTGGTGTGGACGGGTGCTTCCTCATGATGCCCCTACTGCACTAAATTCAATTGATGTGACCTTCCCCCATGCCGAAAGAGACGGCTTTGCCATGAGAGAGCCTTTCAAACAGGCTTTGGAGTGTCTAGGCTGATGAATTCTTTCCCTACAATGTGTTTCCCAACAGGAAAGGAAGACATGTGGATTTGGCGATTCATTAAAGTTGTTGACTGAGTTGCGTACGGCTGTGTATATATTGTAGAATTTAGATGAATTTAGAGTCTCCCTTTTCGATTGACTCCGTTTTGGGGAAGTGGGGGGGAACAGGCAGCAATTGGGAGGATGGCTGTGAACATTCTAGCATAAACACGTTCTGGAAACAATTAATCACGAAATTCGCTTTCTTTTGACTACTGCTATTTTTTGTTGTTGCTTTTGATGACAATATTGTTGGAATGATGGCAGCCTTGAAAACAATGCAAAAACAGTGTCCAGGATAGGTTCGTCCAAATTCATGTCCAGGCAAGCACTCCTAATGAACAACCCAAAATTCCGGTGATAGAGGGAATTCATATCCCATTCACAGTGGTTTCAGAGTAGATGGCGCAATCCCAGGCACCGATATCGCTGACGTGATCTTCCGCCGCCAGCGCCAAGCCCTGCACGGACACCGAGCCCACGCCCTCCATGGCATCCTCAGACGTCCGATTCAGAAAGTGAAGAGCTCAGGCGGAGGAGAGCTGCTCCCTTTTTGGGGACAAAAACAGTGGCAGGGAGTCCCAAATTCGGTCAACGTGTCACCATGCCTGTGCCCGGACAGATGGAATGAATGCAAACTACAGGGGTTTTGTGATCGAAAATGAGTTGAAAACCTCAGTTTCTTGGGTCCAACACTGGTTCTGCTGGTCTTCCAGGCCCATGAAGCTGTTGGGGTCGTGGTCTTCTTGAGTCCATGAAGCGAACCAAGTATGCCCAGAAGTTGAAACTTACCCATAGCATCCGGTTGATCGCAGACTCGAGTGGCTGGTGCTGTGTCTGAAGAACTGAGTTGAGCTAGGAATATCACTACCTTTGGGTGGGTAAAACCTAGTGGTCCCAGTGAATACTGGAACACGGCACATGTTGGCAGATCTTCCGATTAACCGTTTACTTGTTTCCTTCACCTCCATCCTTTTCTGGGCAAACCCAAAAACAACAACATCTCAAAGGCCACGAGGACGCCCAAAAGGCACAAGCTCCGCCAACAGAAAAGGTATTGGTTATCGTGTCATGGTAGAACTGCAACCTCCGGTCCGGAAACCAACCTCTTTTCACGATACCCAAACCTTCAAAAGGGCATTCTTCCAAATCACGTTGCTGAGCAAGGCACTAAGCTTTTCACATAGTCGATGGCTTCCTGGACCACTGCAGCACCTAGCTTTCGGTGTCTGGACGGGGCTCGTCCGTCACCCTCGGTGGGTCGTGAAGGAGCAGAGACTCGCCGGAATCACCCGGTTTCCCGGACGTGAGACAGACCTCATAAGAAGTCTACGAAAACCTGTGGAAGGGTTTCTTGGATTTGCTCATTCGGATGCCGGAATAAATTGATTTAAAAATGAACCGATTCCCCATGCCAGGGGATTTCACCCGGGAAACATCGAGTTTTGTTCGCAAAGCTTCAGGGCTTCGGATGCGACTTCTTTCGGAATGCCAGAAGAACGTGGAACTCCCCCGGCAGACCGGGTGGACCCCGCATTCCTGGATCGGTGAGGCCGTGAATCACGGGCTGTTTCGGGCCTTCGAACGTGTCGCTTCCTGCATTCCGAACAAAAGCCCCTTGATTGAGGTCAGCTCGTGACCTATAGGACTCAACAAACCTGCAGAACATGGTGCCGAAATATCCAGTGATCTCAAACAAGGCCAATGTTGCGGGGTCTCTCACCACTTGCCTATCGCCTACAGTCTACAGTATCTCCCTGGAGACCGAGAAACCTTCAACGACGGCCTGCTTTCGGGTCCCTGCCTTCTTTGGTCACGACGCAGGCTCCGCCCCGCTCTGGCGGGTAGTAGTCCTTGAAGAGCCCGAATTGTGTTTCGTGGGTTTGCCAGCCCAGTTTCCACAGCCCAGATATGACCATCCAGATGGGAGATAGATGAGACATGCGCGTCACATCACACTCCAACTCTCAACTAACAAACTTGTGACCACTTGATAGATGAACCTCGTCTTGCAAACCATTGAGTTGGGGGTTTTAATTTACCAACTGTTCCTTTGAAGCAGTGTAGTTCTTTCAAAATGATGGGTTTTCAGTTGTTCCGCGCGGCACGGATCCCTCAGATCCCGACTGAGTCATGGTCATGGTCCAATGGTCAAGGTGTCTGGGACCCGAAGTATAGGTGTCACTTCGCCAACGTGTGCATCATCGTGTCTATCTTAGTCTATCATCGTGTGGAAGTGCGACCTGTTGAGCACGACCTAAGGCCTTTCGTCCATGTGAAAACTCTTCTTTCACTTCCAATTATCCGGCTCCAGTCGTACCGTATCGTTTCGAAGGTGGGACTGGGGTGGGTGGGTTTAGAGGGTCCAGTCATACCTTCTAAGGAGGTACGACTGGAGCCTTTTGGTATATACTTACTGTACCTAAACCAAACCGAAACTCCGCCTCTTGGCTCTTCCAAAACCGTTTTTTGGTCCATCCTTTCGACCAATCCGACCAACTCTTCGTTCATTGATAAACCCGCAATTCCCCCCCGTCCATCGCGCGGACGTCCAGTCTCCTTGCCCCGGTAGTGCTTCAGCCGCTCCTTGAGTTCCGCGATCACTTCCTGCGGCCTCGAACGCGGCTTCCCGCGGATGTCGGCGCTTCTTCTCGGGCGCGACGGGTCGGTCGATTCCGTGCTTCCGATCCAAGGGGTCCGACTTGGGAGGTGTTGATGATCTTCTTCTGTCTGTTTCTTATGATCTTCTTCTGTTTTTTCAGATGGCGACCCGAAGAGGTGCTTTAGACGGAGTTTCATCTAAAAGACATCTTGGGGGCTGTGCCATCTACCCTGAAACCACGTTTTAAGAACAATATATGAATATATCATGTTGATTCTTCTATCTCTCGTTTTTGGCTCCACATGGCGCCGGGCTGAGCTGCTAACGCGCAGCGCCAGGTCCCTATAGAGTCCACCAGCATTGTGAGGTCTGTCTGATGATCCGCCTCTCAGATCCAGAACTTCTGCATTTCAGGTGATGGATCTGATACAGTTGGTTTCCCCCCAAATCATCAGTCCACTTGCACCGGCCCAAGTCCAGTATCGGCCTCCCATGAACCCACATCGACCTTGAACCGGCCCAGGAAATCACCACACAGGAAAATGGACCTCGCACCGCGCAGCTTCGCACGCCTGGTCCTGGCCCAGGTGAGCTCTTGGACAATCCTCGGTCCGGCGATCAAAAAAGGCGACCGCGTCCAAAGACCCCGACCAATTTCGGAACCAAATTCTGGGGAACCCAAGCTATTGGCCAAATTCTGACGAAACAAAACCTGTCTCCGCTGTCTCCCCCAAAACACCGCATCTGAGCGGCCCGCACCGTCCCTGGTCCCCGTCCCCCCCGGACCGTCACCCGTGTCGATCCCGCGCCAGGTCGCTGTTGCTCCATGGTTGCTCCATCCGTCGGTGGAGGCACGCCTGGCAGAGAGCTACAGCGGAGCCGGGGACCTTTGGAAGGCCATGATGGTGTGCAGAAAATGAACTTTGTTGCGGTGGTTTGTTGGTGACACCTTCTCGAACAGGTGAAGCAGCTCTCAAGTTGTCCCAGTACACCGGGGGCACATGTTCAAGTTTGGGAACCTACTGGGCATTGTTCGAACCACCTGCACCATTTGGGACATCAGCTTGGCCACTTGAATACAATGCTCAAAAGATGTCCAAGGTCAACTCAGTGTGCTCTTTGCTGTATATATTGTCAGACCACCAATCCACCAATGCGCGTTTTATTGACAGGAAACCCGTAAGTCACACACTTGAGCCAACGTTTCACTGCTATACATGTCAAACCTCAGTTGGTTCGGGTTCGGGGGATGATGTTGGATCGTTGAACACATACGCACATATACATGTTATATAATATATATGCTTATAGGATACTTGTCTCACACATTGTTCGAGATGACAAGCACTGGGGCGCCCTGCCATCAGCGAGAGGAGGCATCGCGAATCAAGATATTTCACCGGAAGTGTTGTAAGGAAAGGTGTGTTTGATATCCTTAAGAAAGGCATGTGAACCTGACAAGGACGCCCTGTCAACTTCATGCAAGGTGTTGTTTCATGCGTGCCCTTCGAACTGCTTTGTTTGCGTGTGCTTCGTCTTTGCTTTGTCTTCGTCCTGGCGAGTCTTCCTGGCAAACACCAGTGTCAACGGACACATCTACCGAGGCTGCCTAGGTGCATCTGGTCGACGACAGGAAAGCAATAGATCGAGCTCTGCAGGCGGGTCAGGGAGGCGTTCGGACGCCACGAACGGGGCGAACCTGGCCTTACTACTAGGAGCAATGTTCGCTACTAGGAACAAAGGGCATCGCTACTAGGAGCAAGGATGCTACTAGGGCTCCTTCAAATCTTCTTGCGAACCTATCCCTGATCTCAGACGCGGACCTTTGTCAGCTCGGCAGCGGAAAACGCACTCACCAGAATATGAACCAATCCAATAACATTACCACAGTTTCCTGTGTGATGTTTGATTTTCCCATAGTCTATCTACGCCATACAATCCTCCCGAGTACCTACATAGGTAAATTTGTGTTTTTTGTCTAATTAGGTACCCACCCACTAGAATCACCACCAATCATGCTTCTTACTAGCGCCACTCCGCATTTACACATGCATGTGCACCCTTACCCAATGGCACAGAGATATCGAAGAATAACTCGTCGTTTAGTAAAGGGTTTTTGCAAATGGGAAAAGCAACACCCTTCGATCTGGAGGTGTTTTCCATGTTTGATACGAGTTCAAACCAAGATTCTATATCTATATGTTGAGACTTTCCTAGGCATCTGTTCGGTTTCGATTGGTCTCAGGTTTCCATCTTTGGGCCTCCTATCTTGGGGACCCTCTATTCAGAAAAACGACGCCGGAGCTTTCAATCAAGGGGTTTTCATACGAAAAACAGCACCCACTTGGGGCCATGGAGGTGAAACGAAGGGACGCCAACATCGAAAAACTGGACCGTCTTTACCAATAAAGGAGAGGCTCTTCACATCCAGTCACCACCCCCCCATGGAACCCACCGCAGTTTCGAAGTACCCGACTTCATGAGGTCGAATTCCAGTGGACACCAGTGTTGCATAGCCCCCCCGGGCCGCCCTGGTCACTGGTGTAGAACTACCTCAACCCGACTTCCTCGCGCAGACCTTCGAAGACACGAAGGCACCTCACTCTTTCCCAAGCAACACGTGCACGCGGGGTGCAGGCAGGTCGCGAGGTCGCGATGCAAACAGGTCGAGTTCCACGGTCTCGTAGCAAACGTCGATGTCCCGTGGAACTGCGACGAAACGAAACGAAACGAACTGTCCGGTGTCACGGTCCATCGTCGATGGTCCTAAAACACTCCCATCGTCGGAGCGCCGCGTGAGTTCCTTCGGAGCGTTTGAATCGAAAGGGACGGTGGTTTTCAGCAAGTGCGACCTCGCCAAGGTGGGTGAGACACTGTGATTGACCTGTAGCTCAATGGCCCTGCTGGAAAAGGCCCGCTATGTCCCCCCTTCAGAAGGAGGGTGCTGGCGCAGCTGGGAGCCCAGTGATTTGATCCCCAGGCCACGGCCCCTCCAAAGTCTGGAAAGCACCTAATTGGGTGTCATTTGATGGTCTCATGTCCACGAATTCGGATCCGCATGTGGGCCACACGCCAAGAGGATGACCACTTCGACCCTCTTATCTCGTTAGACGAGGCAGATCTCTCACACCGAACGAGTTCTTGGGCACCATGAAAGCCGTTCGAACGGTCTTATGCGCTTTCGTTAAACCCTGAAACTCTGGTCTTTTCAACGGCTTGTCGGAACCATCCTGGAATCTGGCGCGTTACGGGCACGAACATGCACCGTGTTCGTGTTTGTCTGGAGTGTTTGTCTGTGGATCGGGCTCGACCTTTTGCCATATCTTGAGGTGGTTTCGAGATTACATCGAGGGCCTTCCGGCATCATTGTGTGCCACTCTGCAGTTGATGTTTGCTCAGAGCTCTATTCACGAAGATGTGAAGGTTGGGAGAGATGGTTGGTCAGCTTCATATTCCAGTGGTGATCTTCACTGCCGGGGCCCAGTTGCTTGAGCATTCTGCATCTGAAAACTCCCAAAACCGAACCCAGCGATGCTCCTGGTTGATGACAAGAGACCACATGTTCAACTAGGACAGGTACAGTCAACAAGCAACATGTGGTGATTGCGCAGTCATGTTCTATTTGTTCTGAACCGAAATCAAGTGATTCAAGTGATTCTGATGGTCTCTTGGCACATGTCTTAAGTGCCTTGTTCATCTTTGCCCAACTCGTGCGCTCGCTTGCTTTTGCAGGGGCCGGCCAGGTCATCACAGTGAGGATTGCGTATATCGCATCAGCCGAGAATCTCTTGGGCGTGTCTCCACCGGGGTCGCAGGAGCTGAGCTTGACGTCACGTGTCTGGTCATGGTTTTTCCGCCGGACGGCGGATGGGTCCGTCACGTGGATCGAACGGTGGTAGTGAAACTCGGCCGGGTGCGGCCAAAATGTCGCTGCCTGCGATCTTGGAAACCTCCAGGTGTACTAGGGGTGCTCGATCTGGTGTCTGTTCCTATGGCAACTCATCCGAACGAACAGAAAAGTGCGTCTTCAGAGTCACAGACCCCATATGTAAGATTATATAACCACATGTCTTTCTTCGAGGGCCCCTGGTGTACTGTACTGGTCGACTGAAAAAAGAAAGAAACAAGTCCGAAGCCCAAACGACCTTCAAACGATAGGCATACCATTTAACTCCTAGGGTGGGGGGGTTTATACCATTCCTGGGCTTGCCGAAGATACGAGCGGGGCCTGCCCAGCGGGGCCCTAGGGAGACGTCGAGAGCTGACCATGCCACGCAGTTGCTGACCAACTCTTGCTCCCCGGCACGCACAGCCGAACAGCGCATACAGTTTTTGGCGCGTGGTCCAGGGTGGAGAAGTAAAAGATAGTAAAGGTAATCAACAAATAAAACCACTATCCTAATGTAGACTCTTGATTAATAACCCCACCAATTGAATTGGAAAATCCTCTTCATATGGGGGGTTTATTGATCAAGAGTCTACATTCAAGCGGACGAGCTGGAACAAACACCTGCCAAGTCAAACTGGATTGCTTTGATTGGAGTCCCTGTGGGCTGGGCAACGGCTGAAACCGTGCCTTTGTAAGAGCTAAGTTTGCATGAAAAGCCCTCCAGTTTGTAGGAGGATGGAATGAAAGGCCTGCTTCAGAAATGATCCACCCCACCAGAACCCCAAAGACATCAACCTTGTTTTGGTTGACAAGACATGTCTACGGGGTCTATGTCCCTCTCTCTTCTTCTGGCAGCCAAGCACCGCTCACTCAACTGACAGCGGTCGTTCACAGGCATCTTAACAGTCCATGGTAGGGGAGCAGAATACTAGAACCATCTCGAACCCTCGCTAGGGCTCCTGGCCCACCTCCGTTTCGAAGATGCTTGGGGTGGGTGCCAGGGGGTGGAGCCCACTCCAACCCTTATGGCCTTCATTTTGGGCCGGCACCCAAAACGTCTTGGGTGTCCAACCTTGCTGTCCCACCATCATCATTAGTCTTTCAACTTCCTCAGCTGGGACATACGACTTCAGAAGATCGACCATACGACTTGAAGTAGAAGCACATGTTTGACGATTCATCAACCCCCCAGCCATGGATTGGAGAAACCTCTTCATATGGGGGGTATTTGTCAAGATCCTACATCATGTTTGACATCTGTTCTGAAAGGGGATCCTCTTCTGATTTTTCTTTGGAGTCCGTCCTGAGCCGCTCATCGACCTGCAACTGAGGTCGTTGTTTGCCTTCAAGTAAGGTTGGTAATTCATTCATTCTGATTGCATCATTCATCTATCTTCTTCACAGTTCTCAGAATCACCCCGGTTGGTGTAGAATGATTTGACATGTCCGTCACGGACCGTGCTTGCGAACCATGCCGAGTCCGTCACGCTGGAGACTGCAAGTGCGATGGTGTTTTCATGGTGTCGATCTCAAATTGCTAACCAACAAGTTCGTTTTTGTTGTATACTCACAAGTCACTTCACCTCTGTTCAGTTCTTTTGGCTAGGCATGCAGCTTGGTGCAAAGGGAACGGACACAAACACCAACCCGCAGGAGTGCAGGGGTGATTTAAGCTATCTATGCTGTTTTACAGAAGGCCGCCAACCTACTAGCGATGACCTCCAACCTACTGGCGATGGCCTCCAAC